CTCAGATTCAGATTCAGCGCCCCCCAAAAAAAATACTAAATGCGAAAAATCACAACTTTCCCGCTAGGATTACATCTAAGTACAAAGTAGCCTACCAGGAGACCGAGCTATGCTCGGCTCGGATTGAACTAAGGATTTAATTTATTTAATAAGTTAATTAGCTTAATTAAAGATATTTATGTATGGTAATAAATATGAACATATTTTAGATGATACAAAGGAAACATTTTAATACACCTTGTTAAATACAAATTGCAATACAAATAATTTGTACTAGCTGTTTTTATTAACTGCAACTACAAAAAGGTATTTACAATAACGCGGGCACTTTCAAGGGCTGTAGAGCGCAAACTGGATTTTTTTCAGCCTTGTGACCAACTCCAATTGATTTCTTGTAGCCAAATACCCCATAGTAAAAAAAAAGTTAAAAATCCTCAGACGAAAAAAAAGTTTGTTCATACAGATGCTTGATTTATAGAATTTACAGGATTAAAAATTAAAATTTAAGTGTTGGAATGTGTTTCTTTTTTTACAGTTTACAATATTTTTATTATTTCAAACTTAACAAAATAAAAAAATACCCCCGCCGCATCAAACTTGCAGAGTGTTTTTTTATGTTAAATGTTAATAGTTAGTAAGAAACAAAAACATTTTCCAAATTTGGGCAAAATGTGTTAATATACAAGCAAACTACAACAGTTTACTTATTGTCCATAAGAATAACATGAGAATTTTAAATTTACAGTTTTTTGGAATTTTCTCCGTAACCATTAGGCACATTATAATGCTTCACTATACTCAATTATTTGTTTTTTTAAGCTCTACAAAATTGTTTGGAAAGAAATTGCAAAATTTTATGTTTTTTGGGTCAAAAATGGGAGAAACCCATTTTTACCCCATAAAAGCCCCCATAAACCCCCGTTCCCATGGTCCGATCATGCTGGTTCGCGAACTCGTTCGAATAAACGTAGGTTTACACGTTTGTACCAAATTTCATCAAAATCGGATCATTTTTGCTCGAGTTATCGCGCTAACGGACACAAATATATATATATATATATATAAACATATACAAATATATATATATAAATATATATATATATATAGATATATATATAAACATATACAAATATATATATATATATATGAATTTGAACGGATGGTGTTTTTAACCTCTAGGGACCTCAAAACAAAACAAAAAAAACGGTCCCGGGTCCAAATCTTACCATGAGTACTACGGTAATAGCTTATTCCCTATATGGGAAATTCGCTAAAAACAAAAATACGAATCACAGCTGATGCTACAGACATTTTTTGACGGGAGCAAAGTTCTTATACTGTAAGCGTACGACTTTTTTGCGAGCCGGGTGCGTGGGGGGAGAGCGGTACCAATCTCCCACCACGCAGCCAAAGTTTCCGTAGCATTGGTCGGACTACGCCTTCTAAAAACATTCGACCAGCGCTGTTCGCGTTGTTTTCCTTTTTTGCGTACATTTTTTGAGAATTTAAATTTGAATTTAATTCAAGTACAATACAATGTAATTACTAAGGGTTCTATATTATTGTTTTGGTACTGTAGTAGAGTATTTTATTTTGATATGACTATTTTTTTTACTTATTTAAATGTTCACCAAATATCATATTATCATATTAGGCCTATATTCCAATATTTGTAAAGTTTGACTTTTTAGGTGTAAATTATTAACTTTTATAGTTAGAGTTTATAGGCGATATCTTAAGATGTAGTATTTTATGTAAAAACACTAACAGATATACCTATAAACAGAAAACCATAACAAGGCTTAGTACATATCATTATGGAAACTTTTGCTTATTTTCATATTATGTACAATAAATAACACCTTAAAATATCGGACAGGTTTTCCAAACACCCTTTAAAACGGTTAATGGCTTGCAGTTATTTTTTTAATATCCCTAAGTTGATAAAACGACAGTCGGTCTATGAATGTCGTGCGTAAAGTATTTTATGACAATATATTTTATGACCGGAAGAGTATAATATTCTATCGTGTTCTATCGACTGTCAGTTTATTGGACTGTGCTGTTTAGATGAGTAGTGCGGTTGAGTAATTGAGTGAAAATTTAAAAACGTACGTTTTCAGGAAAAGCACTTTGCAAATTTTTTTCCACTTTTTTCAAAACGTTTATTATTTTTTTTATTTCATTAACATTTGAAGTTTCATCAAATGTCCATGGTAACGCAATATCTTTGGTAGTTTCTTTTTAAAAGAGCATCTTTAGTGGAAAAAACACAAAATCCTGTCACGACCATAACGGACGTTTAAATGAATATTAAAAATAGTTAATATTATTTTTATAACTATGTTTTGCTATAAACTAATTTACTTTTATGGCCATTATACAATAAAAAGGTCACTGAGCTTTCGGTATATTTGGTCTTTCTAGAAAAAAATAAAAAACTCAAAAAATTGAAAAAAAGCCAATAAAATCTTTTTAAGTTTGTATAACTCCGAAAAAACTTACCTGAGACCCGAAAAATCGTTATGTTTGTATAGAGGTGTGCTTCTTTTGTGTATAAAACATTGAAATATGACAATATTATAATTTTTGAAATTTTTATGATAGAAATCATAAACGTGATGGTCAGGGACAAGCGGTACGGTCGTGAATTGTCTGGAATAATCTAAATCTTTCTAAACAATCCTTCAATTATCCTGTTAGTTATAATAAAAATATGTGTTTCAATTGAACTAAACTGTTCAATTTACAATTATATTAAAGTTATTGTCACGACCAAACACACTATAATCCATAAGGCTGGATTGGTCGTGAAAAAACCCGCGATGGTCGTGAAACTTTGGTCGTGAAATTACGTGTTATTTGGCTCTGTTCTGGCGGTAGCCCTGCACCTCATGTTCGAGGATACAAAGTGGACTTCTAGGTTAATCTAGCAATTGAAATATCTTATAAACAAAAATTAACACCATGTCTACTTCATCGAATGACTACGTACGGTCATGGACACACCAAAATTACAAAAAACACTATCTTTCCTTTATTAATCTTGTAATTCCTCCTTTCAACTCGAAACTACCGGCACTACAATCCTGACGTACACCCCGAACTACTCTCTAAAACCAACTGACTCCATCGACGCCAGGCTTGCCACTGTCGTGCTCCAAAGTTGAAAATTTTCCCCAAATGGTCGTGACGCCAAATCGAGGGACAGACTTATTTTGTCATGGTAGTCAGTTTGTAATGACAATAAAATTATAATATGCTCCTTTTTTGTAAGTTTAATAACCATTGATGACATAAAAATATGGCTTTAAATATTTCGGCATGAATAATTAGTCTAAAAACAGCGTGAAAGTTGGAAAATGTACCCTAGGGACACGTCATGGTCGTGAATTTCGAGACTTTAAAAATATGAAAAAAATACCTAGAACCTATTTAAAACCAAATAAATGTGTGTAACATGTTGCCCCCGTCCCAAAAAATATTAAAACACATAATAATAAACTACAAATCCAGTATCTACGAAGTAAAAGGCCAGGGACATGAAAACGTACGTTTTTAAATTTTCACTCAATTATTGAGTGATTGTTAAGCCGTGGGTTAAAAAAGTGTCAGGCTAGTCTAACATAGATTTATATCATAACAACTGCCCGTAAAAAAAGGCAAACCATTCACAGAGTAGCAATGGAAATATTATAAGACCATCAGGTGCCGTGTGCTGGTGTTACGCATCCGCTGGGAGTAGAAGTAGTAGGCCTATAATAAACAACATTTTTTTAGGGCGACTAGTAGCAGATCACCAAGCACCGGGCTGTGGTGGGAGCCTCTTCTGGCTAAAGGCCTTTTCACACCGGCGTACTGTACGTTTGGTACGTTTTTTTTTCAACAAATCGCTGTCCATGTTATCATATGGGCTCGTTCACACCGCGCGTACAGAACGTACTGTACGTACAGTACGTACGCGATGGTTTTGTGAGAATCGCTCGGAGAGCGATTTTTCTAAATCGTACGAGGCGTACGCGAGCTCGCGCATGCGCAGTGGTCACACCAAAACCACGTGCTCAGCCAGTGTTACTTGTCTGACTGCAACCGAACAAGTGTACGTTTTGGAAGTTTCTGTGCGGTGTGAAAGGGCCGCATACAGTACGTACTGTACGTACAGTACGTCCAGTACGCCGGTGTGAAAAGGCCTTAAAGGTGGCGGTCGAGGGGCCACGCGCAAACAAGTCGTGCGCTTACAGTACTACACTCCTGCTTTTGTATTACAAATACTCCTCCTGAACGACTGAAGCGATCCGTGTGAAATTTAGCACAGTCATAGTAACTATCTCTGGGAAGGTATAAATCTGAAATGGTACTAAAAGGCTTTTCTCAACTTAAATTTACATTTTTAGAAACTTATCATGGGCCTTATGGGTTTATTGGTTGCCATGACATTTGCAAGATAACAAAACAAGGACTTTTCCTCAATCATCTGTGTTAAATTCTCTTTTTTTGGGCAGTTTTAAATTTCAAGAAGTTAGTTTTTAGTGTGTTAAGTAACAAATTATGATTTTTTAAGTAATCATTTAAATTTTCTAGCTCTATAAAAGATTGTATTTCCATTTGTTCTATTGAGTTTGGTGTTATTTTAAAATTGGAATCATCAGCATATAGATAAACCTGATTGTTGTTCTTATAAGATAGAACCTTATTTATATCCTTGATATATATTACAAGCAAAGGTCATAATATTGATCCTTGTGGGACACCATATTTTACCAGTTCCAGGTCTGAAGCTATATTCGTTGTTTTTAATTTAATAAATAATTTGTGTTATTGAGCAAATGTTTGATAATTTACTTTTTTCAGGTTTTCAATCAGCTTATTTACTCTAAATCTATGCCAATGATTACGCAACTGATTTGTCTTCCCGTTGCGAAACATGGGTACAGCAGCTTGTACAGTATAGTTGGAGTTATTACTAACAATTAATTGATAGTGTGTTGTCTTATTTCCAGTTCAAATTGAATTGAAAAGAATGGAAAGAAACCCCTCAAATGACTTATCTAAAAGACAAAGAAGAATGTTAACGAGTGTCAACCAAGAAGAGGCTCAGAAAACATCAAATAGTGCTCACGTTTCACTTTCTGATTTAAAGGTGGAAGCTCAAAGCACATCAAACAATAGAAAAAGCGTCACCAAAAGCAATAAGACATCAGTTTCTGATACTAATTCACCATCATTGGATCCTAAATTACAAGATGATATTGAAAAATGGGCAGTAGAAAACGATATATCTCATGAAGCACTATCAGAATTACTGAAAATAACCAAGAAATTTTGTCGTTGTTTACCCAAAAAGAACTAATTATGTCACTGAATCGTCATAACACAACACCTTTTGAAAATAGAGGAATGACAGTAAGTGTATGATTGAATACAATGAGTTTATTATAATCTTTTGAGTTGTGCATGTTTAATGTTCTTTATTCTATATGAGCCCCAATTATGAACTGTTAAAAAGTCGGTCTTGAAGTTAAAACAGTTTGTAAACGTGATTAAAAAAATAATATAATTTATTAATGATTTAAATCTTAAAGATAATAATGTCAGGAGTACAGGAGTAAGTAATAACTGAATTACTGCTGAGAAACTTTGAATGGTGTCAATGCCAATTTAATTCCTAATTTCATCAAACTTTTTAAGTTAGACACCTTTTCCTACAAGTTTTGAACATCAACATTATCAAAATTGGACCCACAGGAAAGTGGGTGGTGTCATTTTGTTTTGATTTGAAATCTTTGTAAACCACAACTTAATCTTTTATCAAAACTATAGAATAGTTTTGTCTTAACTAAACTTATGTAAACTTGAAACTAAAAAAAATAATAATAATAACTGAATACGGCTATTGTAAGTATTTAGTATTTACATATAATGTTCACAGTTATGAATCCCAAAGTACCCATGAACTTTTGAGAAAACTACAAGTCACACCCCCATAAACCATATACTTAAAATGTTCGTCATGACGAGAAACCTCCATTATTTCATAAATTGCCCTTTAAGGTCGTAATTCCTATCTAAAGAGAACTTTCCATATGTAATCTTAAAAATACCTCAGCTGTACTTATTCGTTTGTTATTCTTTCAATTTATTACCTTATTAAAATCAGGTGTGATTATTTGTTTGTATTAATGTATTCTGTTTGTTTATTCCATCTTAACTTAATCATAGACAAATTGAATAAATATAGACTGTCAAAGGAAAGTTCCGGCGCCCACTGCTAGGAGTACCGTGTAGTTACGGCGCACACCGCTGCAGGCGAGGAGCGCAGGAGCCGTATGTGACCAGCAGACGCTGCAGCGGTGTGCGCCGTAACTACATGGCAAACCTAGCGGTGGACGCCAGAACTTATGCTAACCGCAGCACAGCTGACGGTCTATATTTATTCTATTTGATAAAATGGAAGAATTACCTTATCCAACCACAGTTGCTAGTATGACAACTAGTTTTGTTCCTTAGAACATCGTCAGGTCATTGTATGCAACCACATCTTCAATGTATTAATACATTGTGGTATGTCAAAAGATTCTTTAAAACACTGTCAGAATCACAATAGTAAAAACTAGTCATGTTGATCAAATTATTAAAATTGAATAAAAAGTGATAAAACTGGTTAAAACTGTAAAGGCTGGCCAGCACTCTCTTATCACTGTCACTGACTAAATAAAACTGACTGAATCATGAGGTGTCTTCATCTTCATCTCTCCAGTGCCACCTGTATTTCAGTTTGTTTTGTTTTTCTTATTTGATAATTCTTTGATTTGTAGCTTGTCAATATATGTATATGTATTAATACTTATGAAGTCAAACGGGGTGAAGCCTGTGGGCAACAGCTAGTGTGTAGTAATCTGTATTTTGTTGTTTTATGAAGTAATATTTTCAGGGCTCAAGATGGTGCCTTTGAAAACCAAATTTGTGCTATGTTTGTGACTAAATGGCGACCAACAAACAGGATTGGCTATAAATCAACATTTTGTAAAAACATATTTGACTGCAATATAGTTAATTTTATCACTATTATGTTTTCTTGGATATTATTTCTCTACCTACCGATATATATATAATTATGTACCTCTTTAACACTGGTCTAAAATTAAGTGCATCTTCATGGAGAAATGTAGGCAAGATTTGGAAATGAAAGTCATAAAGCTTTACTGAAGATTGTCGATGGGATGTTACTTTCATATATCAGGATAAGAGAGTAAGAGCAAGAGCTATCGAGGGCTTGCTAATTAAGCTATTTTGTATAGGGAGAGTTCTTGTAACTCTTATGCTTGTCATAAACAAAAACAGTAAATGGACGTTAGGTACTCGTATGAAGTATTGTATTGATCATAAAAAGTTTTCTTAGGTTGTTGTGTTATATTATATTTTTAAAATAAAATGTTATTATTAGAAATATAAGATTATTTGTTTACTATTTTGTTTGCCCCGCTCAATCTGCGGACCTGAGACTGTACACCTACTGTAGTAGAAAAACTATCGTGGACAGAATGATAAACAGGTAGGTAGGTGTTTGATGAACTAATTAACAGAATCATATCCTCCTCTAATACATTATCTAACAAAAAACCACTAAGTGGTAACACTTTCCCCGCCAAGTCAGCAATCCAAAAAAGATAATAAATCATTACTTTTTCCACCAAGAAAAACAATGTAATGTATGTAAGTTTGGCAAGGCAGACTTTTACTTGTTGTTTTTTTCATTAAAGTTACGTTCGTGGATAATTTCACAAATCAACTTCTCTAATTAATTAGTCCAACTAAGTATAATAATTTCTAGGTAATCAGTAAATATAAAACCATCACTATTATGATTTTATGAAATGTGGCACAAATAAGGTCAAATTTTGTAAAATAAGCTCTCACCTAACAATGTACTAATGGGAGAGATACTTGCTCAATGAAACTAGTTTTATGGTATTTTTTAAAGTGATCGAGCAAAAGTCTGCCGCCAAGTTGCCAAACTTACATTCTTTACATTGTTTTTCTTTGTGGAAAAAGTAATGATTTATTATCTATTTTGGATTGCTGACTTGGCGGGGAAAGTGTTACCACTTAGTGGTTTTTTGTTAGATTTTATTTATTTTTGTAGAAAATCAACAATTAAAATAAAAATTCTCTTTTCTCTGATATATAGACCACGGCACAACTACATCTCATTTAATTTCAATAATATTGTTTGTGTAGAACTAAATTCTACATTTTTGGTCTTATCTGCTTTAAACCGATTAAAAACTTTTTGACACACGTACCAAAGTTACTATTTAACAAACCCGCTGGGCTTAAACTCAGTTTCAAATTTCATCAATGGTCATCTTGAACAACATAAAATGCGTTGGTGTTACGTAAGTGTTCTGATAATTAAACCCGCATATCTAAAGACTAGTGTAAATTGAGCCTTTATTAGAGAAGTAAAAATGTAATCAAACAGATTAGGTTTGTTAGAAATAGCATAAGACAAAACTAGTATTGAAAAACTCATTTATCCTAAATTTACATATCACTTTTTAATTGCTTGTTTAACATACGTAGAGTGATTTTCCCGATAGTTTTATTTGATATAGTGTATCAAAACATAAAACAAACCTTAGTACTAGTACTAAGTTTCAAGTTCCTAGGTTTCATATGCTTTGATAAGTACCAGTGTACTATCGGTACACTGCATTTTTCAATGGAAAGTATCGGGGAATATCACTGCTCTAAGTAATTTTATATAGTAAGTAGTTCAAATCATTCGGTATACCTAAAAAAATACTTTATAAAAGTTTTAAAATAATTTTTCAGCTGTTCCTATGAATTTCTCTAACATTTAAATTAATTGAGATTTAATCGCAGTTGGTCCTTCTTTTGTTTTGATTTTAATCCCATGTTATTTAAATGGGCCAAAATCGTACTTTGAGGGCTTGCCAAGGGTTTATGGGTCAACGCACCGACTTGAGACCCTCAAAAGGCACATCTACACGGCTTTCAAACAACATAATCCCGATTGTTTTATTTGTTATAGTGTATCAAAACATAAAACAAACCTTAGTACTAGTACTAAGTTTCAAGTTCCTAGGTTTCATATGCTTTGATAAGTACCAGTGTACTATCGGTACACTGCATTTTTCAATGGAAAGTATCGGGGAATATCACTGCTCTAAGTAATTTTATATAGTAAGTAGTTCAAATCATTCGGTATACCTAAAAAAATACTTTATAAAAGTTTTAAAATAATTTTTCAGCTGTTCCTATGAATTTCTCTAACATTTAAATTAATTGAGATTTAATCGCAGTTGGTCCTTCTTTTGTTTTGATTTTAATCCCATGTTATTTAAATGGGCCAAAATCGTACTTTGAGGGCTTGCCAAGGGTTTATGGGTCAACGCACCGACTTGAGACCCTCAAAAGGCACATCTACACGGCTTTCAAACAACATAAAAAACATTACAATTGAGCCAGTGGTTTGGGCTGTAGGTCCGTCAAAATTCAAGGAGAAGGAGAACACGGAAAATTTGCGAATTTTCAAACTAGTTTTTCTTGGCTCAAACACAACCGTTTTTTAAATTCTTTTTTTTATATTTTGTTGAGAATGAGTGCCCCTTTCCAGTAGATGAATAATTATTTTGATAGCTTTTGTTTCTTCAGAGCTATAGACGAGTAAAAAAGCCACTTTGTCACGTCATGTGTATATACACTGCAGCAGCTGTGTACCGCACCGCTGGGGGACTTGGCGGGGCGGAACGCTGCCGCGTTCCTTAATTAGATTACACTATGACAGAATCTTGTAAACAATGAAACAAGACTTTTCACTTGTTCACTTACCAGCATATGTCAGCTGGTGTTTCCCCCCGGGGCCGCTGATTCTCGGAAATGTTCCCTCGAGTTGGTCGGCCACTGACATCAGCCTTGGCAATAGTCCTCGGTCCTCCTCACCGTAGAGAGGGGTCGGCCTCAGCGCCACCGTCCTCAGTTTCAAACCTGCAAACACACATTGACTTTGAGAAACTGAAGTATGCATCCCATCTGCATGGACCAGTTTAAGTTCATTTAATTTGTAATTCAAATAGAACAATGCTAGAGCCACTCACAGACTGCGCTGTTGTCAAAATTCAATTTACTAGTTTAGTTTTTGGTACTATAATATATTTAATGTGACATAAAATATGTTTAATTTTGCACCAAGATGTAACTTTGTGCCTTTTTACTTTACTTTTTCATAAGATTTGCGTCAATATTTTAAGGGGGCCGAAAAATCAAAATGTTATTCCTTAGCATTCAGTTTATGGCGCACCAAATTAATTAGTACAGATCATTTAAATTATAGGCCCTACTAACTGTTCAATAACATGGCAAAAGTAAAGAAACTATCACATTTGTTAAATAAAATTGACATTAAAAGGTCTTAATAAAATAATGATGTGAAATAACAAAAATAACTTCAAATTGTTTGAATCTATTTATACTGAAGGACTATACTAATAGGCTACAGGGTGTTTCACAGCTCTCTGCCAACCTTTTAATGTATTGTTTCTGGGTTCATGAATGTAAATATCGCATGTAGGCAGAGTTGCCATTTCATATTTTTCAAAAATTGCTTTCTCTCAATAACTGTGACAGTGACAACTTTGAACAATTTCATGAATATTAATACCAGCGTCACTAACTTACAAAAGAATAATCAAATTTACAACAAAAAATTCAAAATGGCGGCCATTTTAACTTCTTGAACGCAAATCTATCCATACCATAATACGAGTTACGTTTACGCACAATGATTTAAAACATGGCTCCTATGATTTCCTCCCAATTGTTTGGAAATATCTTAGTTTTAGGATATAAATATCCATGCTACGCTCTGTTCTGGAAAAAGTAGTTTTTCGTTAAAAAATTTAATATTTATTTTTAAACATTAGTCTAATGGATTGCCAAATAGCTATGGCAGTTTTACTAAAATGTAAATGAATGAATTGTAACATATGCTTGCTTATAACAAATCATCTACAGTACAGTAGCAAATTACAAAATGCAGTACACAAAAGAAAAGGACATTCCTATGAATGCTGTATTGATTATATAATACACATGGGATGTCTGATTATTGCTAAGCAATGGGGTAATTATGACGGTTCGAAAACTAATAGTCTCACTACTTTGGGATTATGAATTTAGTTTAAATCAAACACAATGTCCAATAAAATGATGTTCACACTGTGAAGAGTTGGCAGGATCTGGGGAGAGGCAATGGTAGAAGCTCAGGAAGTCCATGTCCATTGTTGAAATTATGTACAGCTGGTTAATTCACATAAATGACACTTGCCACAGTAATTTTGATTTTCTTTGGATAATTTTGAAAAGTGATACTATATTTAAGATGTTATTACTATATTGCAATTTTCTTACAATTATATATTATTCTAAGTAAATGATTATTGTTGGTTTTTGATAAGTACAGGATAGGTATGGAGAGAATTGGCAAAAATATTATATTGTAACATAAAATACCCCCGCCGCAGCAAACCTGCCGTCTAAGCGAATTTCCATTTGGCTGAATTGATATGATTTTCAATTGGTCTATTTAAATAACATTAGGTTTAACGAGTACCTAGGTTTGCTGTTACAAGGAAACTAATAAATAGTGTGTTTTAAGTAAAATAATTATTGCTTAGTATAAAATTAATATATTTGCCAAGTTTGATCAAAAGATATCCATAAACAAGCAAACTACAACATTTTACAATATTCTCCATAAGAAGAACATGGGAATTTTAAATTTAATTTTTTTTTGTTTTCTCCGTAACCAATAACCGTACAAAAACACTTTGATATACTGAATTGTTTGTTTTTTTAAGCTCTTTAAGAAGGTTTAGAGAAAAATTGGAAAATTTTGTGTTTTGAGGGTCAAAAGTGAGAAAAACCAATTTTTACCCCATAAAACCCCCCATAAAATCCTGTTCCCATGGTCCGATCATGCTGGATCGCGAACTCATTCAAGTTTATCCCGCCTTACACCTTCAAACCAAATTTCATCAAAATCGGTTAAAAATTACTCAAGTTATCGTGTTCACGGACACATATAATATGTTTTATACATATATAAAAATTTGACCGAATGGTGTTTTTGGCCTCTGGGGACTTCAAAATGAAAAAGTAAATCGGTCCCGGGCCTAAGTCTTACCATGAGACCTACGGTAATAGCTACTTCCCTATAGGGAAATTCGCTAATAGGATGATGTTTCTGTGGGGTGATGGGATATTATATAACATTGAACAAAATTTGATAAAATAACACATTAACAAGGAGAAACATATAACTAATAATACATTATCAGGGGCATTAACAGACATTATGGGAGAAAATATACAAAATAATAAAGAAATTAATGTTAATGATGAATGAATGACATGTAATATTACAAAAATTCAGAAATATTGGCGAAGTTGTTATTTCAAATTAGTATTAATTCCAATATTAACAGTTCTTCTTGAAGAAACCTAAGTATGCTTATTCGGTAAACTTGATTGGTATTTAAATTGGAAATAAATTTGAAATTTTTTAAAGGAAATATTTTTTCACCACTCTACTAATTTTTTTAGCCGTTTTACTAAATGTTAGTTGGAGACTGAAAGCTACGTTGCTGTCCATACCAGCTGTCGTCGTCATTTGGGGACCGAGCCGGTCTCGCGGCCCTAGGGCCGAAAATCTGCTGTTAGCTTATTTACTTAAAATAATGTATATTTAATCTTACGTACCTAGCCTTCAGGTTTGCTGCAGCGGGGGTATTTTAATATAGGAAAAAAATGCAAAAACTGCTAGTTATAAATGTGTTTGTTTTCATGCCTTGTGTATCTGTAACCTCTTACCCGATTTCAGTGGAGTTCCGTGAGCCTGCAATATTATCCTTTCTGCTTGTAGCTTGGTGGAAGCATAGTCAGAGAACACCAGGTCGGTTGGGTCTTTAGGCCAACCAGCCTTAGTCTCCGTCTGATGGACCACGGCTGCAAAGAACCCTCGCTTGAACAACGGGACGAGCGTCACCTCCGACGTGGAGGTGAACACTAGTCGAGGAATGTTCATCTCTATACAGAGCTTGATCACGTTCCTTGTGCCTGATTGAAAAGAAAACCAGATGTTTAGTCTTACAAAAATCTTGTACCTGATTATTAACTCACAATAACAATTTGCTTGAGTAGAAGCTAAGTAAATCGTATGAATTTAAATTTATCGAGGGGTACAATGCGTGGTGGAAGGAAAAAACATAGGTGTGCTATTCCCACATATTCTGACGTCACTCGGATTGCAAACAAAAGATCATCTGATTGTAACTGTCAAATTAATATATGTATTTGTTTTGATTTGGTTGTTATTGTTTTTATTATTATAAAAACAATAACAATCAAAACAAATACATACTAATTTGACAGTTACAATCAGGTGCGATCTTTTGTTTGCAATCCGAGTGACGTCAGAATATGTGGGAATAGCACTTCTATGTTTTTTCCTTCCACCGGGTACGATGCATAAATTAAAAAAAAATTATAATTAGATGTTTTTATAAAGGTAGTACCACGATTACTAGAAAAATACCGGTATGGATCATAAACATAAACAAATGACTTTGTTGGCCCGAATCCTATACTAACAGCATTGAACATATGTTTTGGCAGTTCCATTTACGCAATGTTTTTTTAACATTTTATTTAATTTACAATCTGTTAAAAAAAAAATAGAACAATAAGCAAATTTGATAAAATTTAAACACAGTAGTTAGTCTTTATCCAACAATAGAGCTAACACATAAAACTTTGCATTTTTGGTACAAAGTTTAAAGTCTAAAAACGACTACTTAAGTCCAAAACATGGCATCTTTTCAATCTGTATGTATAGTTGCTGTTGACCAATAAATTTAAAGCAAGGTAGTTAGGATGTTTAAAATACTTGAAGTAATATTAGATAATTAATATAGAATAAATTATTTCAAGATGGTGTTGTAATGAGTCTTATATTGAGAACAATGTTTTGATAATCACAATAGTAAAAACATCAGGAATAATAAATATTTAAAATAACATATGATTTTTGAGGAATGCAAATAGAAAATATATAACAGATTCTTCCGCACTGAGGAAGTGTTCAAGGCGTGAATCGTGTCTGTCGTTTGTTCTGTCTTGATGTATGTCGTCGTGAAGGTGTTGGTCCATAATATACAGATGTACTTGTGTCTGGTTGATGAGTGGTTGATGCATGACTGGTTGATGAATGACTGGTAGGCGAATAACTGTTAGTGTTTTCAATAAATTCTTTCTTTTTGGTGGAAGACTTTTTCCAGCTAGCTTTTTCTGATACACGTATCTTCTGTGGATGATTTCGATCCTTTTCTGATTTCTTCTTACTTAGGTTGATTTGCAAGTGTCGTATCCATGTTCGACCCAAAAGAGGACTGTATCCGTCAGGAACAACAAATAACTGTTCGACGGTTGATGTTCCATTGCTTTTCACTCTTACTGAAGCAATGCCCAGTGGAGATAGTAGCTCCCCTGTGTAAGAGCGAAATTTGACGGATGTTGGTGTTATAGTGTCCATTGAAATGTTTAAACGCTTTAAGTCTCCTCTAGGAAGTAGAGTGTGGGCGCAACCTGAATCAACTTCGAACTTTTGGGGCCGGTTATTAATAAGAACTGTCATTATAAACTTATCAGTGTCTGGAAGGTGTATGTCATGAATGTTTCCAATTTGACCTACGCCATAAATATCATCAACGTCTGACTCCACGGACTGGTTATCATTATCTTGATTTAAGTTTTTGATTGATTTTGAACCACTTTGTTTAGATAGTAGGGACTTGGTACATACCTTCGAAATGTGGCCCTTTTTGTTACAGGCATTACAGCGGACTCGAGATCTGTGCAGTCTGCATTGATGTGACGTGTGATTGTTCTTGCCACACCGAAGACAAACGCCATTCAAGCCAAGAGCAATTAAATCAACTTGTTCTTTGCGCCGACAATGTCCTTGTAGTGTAGCAGAAGAAATTGAGCTGTTGCGACTGCTGTCGGAAGAACGACTGCTGCTCTCGCCTGACGAACGATGGTTGAATCTAGCTGACGATCGGTGCCTTTTCGAATGTCCTGCCAACTTGTTGACGCCTACGTTGCTGTAAGACGGTTGTGACTGCTGCGAAAACTCGTCTATGGCATTGGAATTCAGCTTTGAAGCTTCAATTGCTAAAGCTCGTATTACAGCAGAGTCAAAAGTTAGATCCTTCTGTTGAAGAAGGTTCTCCCTTATGGAAGAATCCCTAATTCCTCGTATGAATTGTGCCCTGAGGAATAGGTCAGAAACAGAAGCGTTGCAAGTAGAACAGGCCACATTACAAGTCGAAATTTGCTTTTTGAGGGACATGACATAACTGGAAATACACTCATCAGACTTTTGTACCCGAGAAAAGAATTTGTGTTGTTCGACAATTTCGTTTTGAGCAGGAAAGTGATTTGTCATTAAGGCAGTAAGCTCTTCATACTTCAGCTCAGTTACCTTCTTTGGCAACGATAATGTAGACAACAAGTCGTAGCCAGAAGAGCCTAGACTGTTAATAAATATCTGGGCACAGAGATCTTTGTCTGAGAAAACGTTTTTCAACTTTAAGTAGTTTTCAAATCTCTCTTTGTATTGAGAAAACGTTTCTTGTGTACAGTCAAACTGGTCAAAATTTGAAATCAGTGTTAAATTCTTTGATGGTTGGGAATCATACATACCTTGAAGGGCTGTTATAAGTGTTTGTAGAAATAATTGAAACTGTTCCTGGTCCATCTTGCCGTTTTCCTCGTCGCCACTTTAAAATACTTGAAGTAATATTAGATAATTAATATAGAATAAATTATTTCAAGATGGTGTTGTAATGAGTCTTATATTGAGAACAATGTTTTGATAATCACAATAGTAAAAACATCAGGAATAATAAATATTTAAAATAACATATGATTTTTGAGGAATGCAAATAGAAAATATATAACAGGATGGTACTCTAATTTCTTTATTTGGCACTTAATTTTGAAATTTCTTTTTTAACTGTTGGGGTTCGACTGTCCCTGTGAATCACTTCGTTATTGACGAACCATGGTGCCTGGAGAATGTGTCTTAGAACTTTAGATTGGAATCTTTGGATGATGTTCAGATTGGATTCACTGGATGTCCCCCACAGTTGGATACCGTACGTCCACACTGGTTTCAGAATAGTTTGATATAATAGCAATTTAAATAATGTTTATTTTCGGGCCAAAAACGTCATTTGTTTATGTTTATGATCCATACCGGGGTAGTACTGTAGCTTAAAAATCGATTAAAGAATTGGAACAGTCAGCAGGCGCTTGACTTTTCATGGTAAGTGTTGTTTAGTTAGGGGTTTAAACCTGTTGATTATTGATATTTTTCGTCATACTCCAGAAAAAACAGCCGTTTTAGCGAATTTCCCTATAGGGAAGTAGCTATTACCGTAGGTGGCACACGGTAAGACCTAGGCCCGAGGCCGATTTACTTTTTCATTTTGATGTCCCCATAGGCCAAAAACAGCATTCGTTAAAAAATATATATGTATTAATTTGTGATACAAAAAACTTCAGTAATTTTTGTCCGATTTTGATGAAATTCGGTTTAAAGGTGTAAAGCGGGATGAACTTGAATGAGTTCGTTAACCAGCATGATTGGATCAAGGGAACGGGGTTTTGTGGGATAAAAATTGGCCTTTCTAATTTTTGACCCTCAAAACACGGTTTTTCAATTTCTCTCTAGACCTTTTTAAAGAGCTTAAAAACAAATAATTCAGTATATAAAAGTGTTTTTGTACGGTTATTGGTAACGGAGAAAATTGTAAATTTAAAATTCCCATGTTATGGAGACATTTTGTAAAATTTGTAGTTTGCTTGTTTATCGATATATGTTGACAAAACTTGGCAAATGTATTCATTTTAGCGAATTTCCCATATAGGGAATAAGCTATTACCGTAGTACTCATGGTAAGACCTGGACGCGGGACCGATTTTTTTTTTCGTTTTGAGGTCCCTAGAGGCCAAAAACACCATCCGTTCAAATTCATATATATATATATATATGTGTCCGTTAGCACGATAACTCGAGCAAAAATGATCCGATTTTGATGAAATTTGGTACAAACGTGTAAACCTACGTTTATTCGAACGAGTTCGCGATCCAGCATGATCGGACCATGGGAACGGGGGTTTACGGGGGGTTTTATGGGGTAAAAATAGGTTTTTCCCATTTTTGACCCAAAAAACATAAAATTTAACAATTTCTTTCCAAACCATTTTGTAGAGCTTAAAAAAACAAATAATTTAGTACATTGAAGCGTTAATATACGCCTAATGGTTACGGAGAAAATTCCAAAAAATTGTAAATTTAAAATTCCCATGTTATTCTTATGGAGAATAAGTAAACTGTTGTAGTTTGCTTGTTTATGAACATATTTTGATCAAATTTGGAAAATGTTTTTATTTCTTACTACCATTTAACATTTTACAAAAAAAAAGTTTTACCCCCCCTGATGCAGCAAACCTAAGTACTTGTTAAACTAATTCTATTTAAATCGGGAATAAATGTTATATTTTTAAGTAGACATTTCAGTGTAAATCAAATCAGTCAAATGGAAATTCGCTTAGTCTGCAGGTTTGCTGCGGCGGGGGTATTTTACTAAGCTATTATTACTTTACTAAAATACACACTTTATTAGTTTCATTGTTGCAGCAAACCTAGGTACTTGTTAAACCTAATGTTATTTAAATAGATTTAATTGAAAACCAATTCAGTCAAATGGAAATTCACTTAGTCGGCAGGTTTGCTGCGGCGGGGGCATTTGATACATGCGTTGCTGGTCTAAAAGCAGCTCTTTTTATTTATATTTGTCTGTTTTCTGCCTCGTCTCTAACCTCCATTCCTGAATCTCTAACCTATCACCAAATTTAGGCTGCGTACAAACTGATACGCAGTCATAGGGTAGTTTTGGATCATACAAACTGATCCGGGGGTCTGGCAGGTAAATAATAGGGTCGCTTGACACATTGGAATTGACCCGCGAATCGTTGATGGAAAGAGGGGA